CACATTTTATCTCATAAGGTAAGTTGAACACTTCAAAATTATATGGTTTCTATTCTTAGTAAAACTTCGACAACTATTTATTGGTATTATATTTCCTCATGCAGATTGAGACTTTTATTATTTATTTTTCCAAAGTGTTGCCTAGTTGCTGAAATATTAATACTTTTTATAAGCCATTTTTGTGTGTGTTGGGGTGGGGAGGGGTGAATTTAAGCTCGGATGCTTTTAAAAATTGAGGCCTTGTATGCTCTTGTTGTTGTGCTTGCTTTCTTAATACTGCTTTCTGGATTTATCTCATGGGTTCCGGAATAGGTGCGAGAATGATTCCCTTCCGAATATAGAGTGGGTTCTTGATCTTGCAAGGGCAGCGGTACTAAGGCATGGTATTCGGGGGCTTGTAATTGATCCTTACAATGAACTTGATCATCAGCGCCGAGCTAATCAGTGAGTACTTTTTACACCATGCTCACCTTTGCCTTATTTGTTTTGCTATTATATTGGCACCACCTCCGTTTTTATTCGATAGTATAGTTTTTTCATTTTTTCTTGGCGCCTTTAATTTTGGTCCTTTGGATTATCTATGAAATACATGTATATAATTTATATTTTTATTTTTATGCCAATGGCTAGCCTGCTTGATAGTTGGTAGTGTCAGCGACATCCTCGTTATTATTATCATCATCATAAAAATTTGAACTACCTCTGCCTGTGTTTTGCCTAAAATTATATACTTTGATAGAAGTATTCACAAAGTGTCCTGGTTCTATCCTAGTGGGACTCATAAGTGGACAAGAAAGGCTTCATAATTTCAAAACGTTCTTTACTATTTCCCATTCTGAGCGTTCCTCATTTGCTGCTGCCTAAATGTCCCAGTTGTTAACATCTTGTATTCATAGCAGGACGGAAACGGAGTATGTAAGCCAGATGCTTACTAAGATCAAACGATTTGCTCAGCATCACTCTTGTCATGTCTGGTTTGTTGCACATCCAAGACAGGTCGGTCTTTCTGAGTCATCTTTTATTGCTTGGTATCTCTTTGTACTAATTTTATATTTTTCCATCAGTTGCACCAATGGACTGGGGCTCCTCCTAATCTCTACGACATCAGTGGAAGTGCACACTTTATAAACAAATGTGACAATGGAATTGTTATTCATCGGAATCGGGACCCCGAGGCTGGACCTGTTGATCTAGTACAAGTGAGTATTGTCACAAGGTTGTCTCTGTAAGCAATCTTCTAGTTTCTATTGCTGAAATATGTTTTTGCAGGTCTGTGTGCGGAAGGTACGAAACAAGGTTGTAGGAAATATAGGTGATGCGTTCTTGTCTTATGATAGGTATGTGACATTACACCATATCCACACTTCATTGCTATTTTTCCTCCTTATAGTTTTAAAAAGGCTCGTGTGTTTGTGATAAATAAACCAAATTTGATTAGGAACAACAAAGGGTTGACAGTTGTTGAGCATTCAGATCATTACAAAGGCACCTGATGAAGGAACCAACACACTTTAGAGCTTGGATAGAAAACTATAGATAGTTCATGGTTGGTGGGTCTGGAAAAGTCAGATAAGTCAACATAACTTGATGTAAACAGAAAAGGGTTAAAAGTAGGTTAGAAATGCACTAGTAGCGGTGAGACCATTAACGAGACCCGAGAAGCAAGTAAAATGATGCAGAGGTTAAATAGGAAACCACAGGTTGGACTAGTGAATGTCCGGTACATAGCAACTTAACCTTTTGCAGGTGATGCTCTACCACTAGCATACTCAAGGTTGATATGAATCATCTTTTAACATATTTGTGAATTTGAGAAACTATTAGCGACTGGCATCAGTGAAAATGAGAGTAAGGCCGTAACCACTCTATCTATGATGCCTCACTGAATCATCATATATAGTTCAAACTTTAATTGTTTGTTTATGTTATCATTATTGTACGGCGGTCTTATTGAATGATATTTGCAGGGTGACGGGCATATATAATGACTTTGACGAACGACCAAATCAGTGATGGGCCATGGTGTTCGTTCAACCGGTAGCTAAAATTTTGTATAGTATGACTATCGATTATGCATGGGAGCCTTCTTTCCTGATGAAGTGGGTACAATTGAAATGTTGCTACCAAAGAGCCCAAGGCTTATCATATATGACAATGGTGGTGGTGGATTTTATTTTTCATTTATCAACAACACAATGAAATACCGGGGATACTGTTGAAAATTTTCTATCAATAGAATTCAGGAATTTCTCTTGCTCGTATCATTGCAACAGTAGATTGTTTGGTAATCTACTCAATTTATATTACTAGTGTTCTTAAATGATCTTTCGTAAGAAGAGCTCATAAATGTCAACCATGAGATGATGATTATTACCGAATTTATCAAAATATTCAATGCAATTCGACTTTAAAAGCGGTCATTATATTATTCGATCTGAATTAGTCAATCAATATATTAAAAACAAGTGGTAATACTAAAATAAGAGCTCATTACAGGATCTTCAGAGCTATCAAATTGTTTATGGATACGGTACTTCTGCTTTTCAGGAATAATGCTTCCTGTTATACATGTTTCTTAGCTCGAAAAAAATAATCTTAAAAATACGTGTGTTTCGAAAATGTTGTTATCGATTATTTTGGGTAAGATGTGTTCGACCAATTATAAGTTTCACATCTATAAAATGATTTTTAAAATTCTCCTTTTTAAATAATTTTAGAAATTGACGTTCTAATCAGAGAAAAAGGGTGAATTAAAAGAATGGGTTACTTATATGTTTCAACTTTTGGAAGTCCAAAAATTAAATTAATTGTTTTTAATAATTCTTACCTAAGGGAGAAGAGAAATGTCAATCGGGAGCTTTTAATTATTTGTGTCAAAGACTGCTGTCAATTAAATTCTAAATTACGATTTAGTAAATTAAATATGAAATTTATTAATATATAGATAAATTAATTTTTATTTAAATCAGAGTTTGTAGTCCATTTGACTTCAAAAAAAGTTTTTTTGTTATGAATAATTAAAATATCACATTTTAATTATTTTGGAAATTATCTCGTCGATCATTTTAATACAAATTATTTCTTGAACTTTTAAAAGAAGGTTGAAACATTTTTACTCAAAATGTATCATGATTAAAAATATAAAATAATATTTAATTTATGAAAGAATGACGATTCAATTAAAGTGTTATCGGTTAACTAGCGAGTAAATTGAGGTCAGTGTTGAATTATAGTTTTGACCATGGGCTCATAATAAGGAATAAATTGTTGTATTCGGGTCCTGGGTTGAGACTATGGGGTTTTAAAATAGTGAGAGATTATGTTGGTTCAAGATGGATTTTAGCTGTGTTTATTTGGTTTGAATTTTGGATTCTTGATTCAATGTCTTCTTGATTTTAGGAAAACCTAAAAGTTAAATTAAGTTTAGGGTCAATTAAATGGTGGTTGACCGATTGTGGGACGTGGGTGAGAGCTGAGATTAATTGACCAACTGGAAAAAGTTTTTTCTCGCCCCAAAATGACAAAATTCGTTCTTTGTAAAAATAGTTGTTTTATTCTTATTTTTTAAGTATTTTAATTACAAACATTTTTAATTTTTGGTTAAAATAATTATTGTTGAATGAATTGTTAGTCGTTAATAATCAACATATATTGTTGATGTGATATTTTCACATATATTTAATTGATGACGTGATACATATTATATCATTATTTTTAATTTAGGCATACATGCCACGTTATTATTTTGAATGACATGATACATACCAATTCTTCAATTAAACACATACGAAAATATCGCATTAGTAATATGTGTCGAGTATTAGTCGATTAATGATTTTCATCTAAGGTAAACTATTTTGATAAAAGAAAACATTTGAGAATTAAATGCTATATAAAAAGGATAATAAATTAATTACTCATAGAAACGCTGAAGGATAATAAATATTTTGGGTTTTAGACACTGTAAGTGAGCTTGGATCCAATAAGTGTTGGGTTCTGAAATGAGTGAGCGTGAACCTAGTGAATGATTTGAGTTCTGAGTTGAATGAGGGTGAGCCTATCTCAAAATCTTTTTTGAGTTTTGAGTTGAACCAACACATAAAATAATACTTCATTCCTCTCATTATTTTGTCTATATTTTTTGGAGATAAGTTTGGTGACATATAAAGTTATATAAAATGAGAGAAATGACAAAATTATCTTCAAAATAAGAGAAATGTAAGTGTTAATCTTTGTTGATTTTTTTTAATTTGACATTTTGAATGAAATAATTTTAAAATTTAGAGTAGAAAATTTTAAAATTCAAAAGAGACAAATTTAATAGGACATGATATTATTTTGAATATTTATGCAATGAAAAATTCCAAAAAATTTTACAGAAAAATGTAGACTTCATATTTTAACATTATATCATATTTTAATTATCAGTTGAATTCATATTTTAATCTCTCCTCAAATAAGAAAATGAAAATAGTCCACCTTGAAACCTTATACATTTTAATAAATGTTATAAACTAATTTTAATATTAGACATTTTTTATATTTTCTATTAATAATATATTTTCATCTTTAAAATTTAAAAATCCATCCCTTCTAATAAAAATTGTATTTGTCCCGAAGTTGTACGAAACCTGTCAAACTAACCGTTTAGGAGTGATCTTATAGCTTTAACTTCAAGATAGACCATCAAAATATTCTCATCCCTGGTTATAATATTAAAAGATGGAGAACACAATTCAATTAACCATTGATTAAAACTTTATTTATGAGGAAAAATTATATATATGTTAACGTGCATACATATCATATAAATAAATACATAGAGAGACAGGTGGAGAGAAGAATAAATGTGGTTCCATTCCATGTATTAGAATCACCATTAATCTACATATATATGTCTAAACTAACAAAAAACAAAACAATGAAAATGGTCAAGTACAGCATACAGCTCAGCTCTGTCGGACACCAATACCTTTTAGTACTACATATAATATTATATCCCGAGCGGCAGGAGTAGCATGTAAATGAATTAATAATAATGCCGTTGTAAAAAATTGGATGTGAACGTGAATTAATTTTGATGGTCCAACGAACACGAAGACTGGCTTGAAATGGTAGTGGAGGAGGCCGATGATGTTCTCGGCGTCGTCGTCGACTGCTTCTGCTTTAATACCACCGCCGGCAGGATGCTGGTTTTCCGCCTTTCTTGCTCTTTCACTAACTCACCTCCCATCATCTCTAATATCTCCAAATTCGTCGCCTCACTCCTCTTCTTCCCTTTGAAGAGATGAGATTCCACGCTTCTTTGCGCCAGCATCTCCTTTGCAATGCTTATTACGGCGGCGTCTTTACATTTTGGATGAAGATTGGGGGTCGTCAAGTTCAGCCCATTCCCCTGAATTCTCACGTAGTTGCTTCCGTTTCCGCTTTCTCCGAATGCCATTGAAATTGCTTGATCAACCTATACGTGTATAAATTGTGGTATTCGTTAATTTTTTGATCATGGAAGATTTAGCTTTAGCTTGCTTTTGATTAATAGGTTTTTGATTTTGTGTATTTCTTGAGCTTGATTTTGGTACTTACGATGTCAGAAGCACCCTCGCCGGCGATTCTAAGAAACTTTGTTCGCGTCGGAGTAAGAGTAACGTCACCGGATCCGAAACCAGATTCTCCGTTCCCTAAAGACAACACCAAGAGATCCTCCACTCCATTACAAAACGGGAACTCCTGCTTATTGTTCAGCACGTGTGTTATAGCCGCCGATGTTGGATTTTTCATCGCTACCCCGCCTTCCACCGCCATGATCTTCGTTCTCTCATCTACCGATCTCACTTCCACCACACCCACCACAGTCGGATCAGCCGACGTCACGTAGCACACGTCCTTCATCTTGAAATCATAGCCGTCCATTTCCAATGCATCAGCCCGGGAAAACAATAACGGCGCTTTGGAACAAAGATCGTAGCAGGGTATCAAAACCGGCTTCAGGGTATCCTTCAAGGTCAGCTCCCCGAAGGTTCTGCCCAACAGTTTCTTCACGCCGGATGGACGGAAAAGTTGACGGAATAACCCTTGAGGGGAGGAGCGAAACAGTTCCCGACGGTTTTTCACGAGGAACTGAAGAGCTTGGTCGGCAGTAAAAAGGGGGGCGCCATTTTCAGCCCGAGTGAACAACAACGCGGCGAGAATTGCACCGGCTTCAGATCCTGCAACGACGTCGAAATATTGGGCAACGGAGGCATTGGGGTTTCCCGATTTTTGACGGAGAAAGGTTTGGAGGGTAAGGAGGGACTGAGCCGCCAATATACCATCGGAAAAGCTACCGCTGTCGATGGAAAGGATTCTTACTTTCCCAGAAAAACGATTCCCAGATTTCACAGGATCTTCACGGTGAGTTTTTGCAACATTGGCATTCTCGTGATCACCGAAAAGGAGCTTGTTTTCAAGGATGGAAAATATTTGGTTAGTGAGGGTGTCGACTTCGTTAACTAGGAGTGCCATTAAAGAAATGAAAATGAAAAAAAAATGTAAATGGAATTGAAATTTAAAGAAATAGACAAGTTGATGATCGAAATTGGACTTGAACTTGGAGAGCAGAGCTGTATATGCTATTTATACACAGTGATGGAATTGAAGAAAGAACAAGATGAAAAAAATAAAGTAATGTGAAATGTCGGCTGTTGATGAATTCGTGCGTTTTTTTTATTACAAATAAAAGTGTGAAAGGAAGAATCCAGGAACATTCTTTACGCTGAAGATTAATCGGCGAGTTTTGAAATGGATTTGTTGTTCGAATTGTATTTGGCGCTGTCCTTTTGGTACTAAATTATTACTTCTCTTCTAATAAATATTTTTTGTTCTTTCACTTTTATGCGTTTGCATTTACTTTGTATCTTGGTCAAAATTAAGCGACAAATGAAAGTGAAAATGAAAAAAGTGTAGGCCGCATTTTTTGGGAAACTATATTGATAGTCCTTTTTATTATAGGATATTTTTTTCTAGTCTATTTGATTATAAAAAGAATAAAATTATCATTCAACTAATCAAAAGTTATAAAATGATCAATTTTTAATAGAAAATTACGTGATGATTAATAAAAATTCATAAACAATAAATTTATTCATCAATGTTTATACATTATATTAAAATTAATCTTAAATCTAAATAAATTAACCATGAACGTTTAAATATTATACCAATTTAATCCATTTATTAAATTTCTTCAATAAACTAATTGAAGGTGGACATAACAAATACATGTGCAACAATTTCTCCATACCTATAATAAAAGTGGAGATGCTATCACATTTCACCCATTTTTTACTAAATTGAGGAGATTCTAGTAAAAATATAGTGTCAAAACAACATAACATGACACCGAATTATAATGTCAAAATATATTATATGATTGAGGGACTATCTATATAATTTATCCCCTTTTAAATTTTTCTTCTCACTTGGCCTTTAGTTTGAAACTAAGATATTCCTTCTTCCTTTCTCTTTACTTCTTTTTCTTTTTCCATCCTTCCCTCGTCTATGTTTTAAACTTAAATATCTTTTTTGTGTTAATCTAATTAGGCAGTAATAATTTTAAAAAAAATAAAAAATTAGGCAGTGACAGAGTAAACCCGAAAATATTATGTATTTTTAGGTCGAGTTCCGACAGTCATATTGGCAGAATGTCATATGTACGGAATGGCACGAAACACAACATAATTGTAGAATTTGTTTTATAAGAATATTTGTTTATCAAATTAAACAAATACATGTAAATACGACTTTTGAAGTTTCTCAATATGAATTCAACACACATAAACAATGTTCATATACTTATGATATAATATTAAAAAATATCTTATTTTGATCAAATAATTATTTTAATATGTATTGTCTATAGCATCTTATTCAATGTTTTTTTAGCCAAAATGAATCTTTAATAAACTAAAAATCATTAATTAACTAGATGTGAACGCATTAAAGTAACATGACATCATATGATGACATAACAATGTCTCATTTTACTACTGAATTATAGGTTTAATATAAAAATAATTGTTCAATCTATATCGTTTTTCTCAAAGTGTCTAAATTGTTTGTCGGTCAATCTCGGTATCTAAAGTTATAAACGTTACTACTTTAGGTGCTCGACCCGTAATATGTGTTAAATTTCACCGTTAAATAACATGTGTTGCGTTCATGTAATTTTAAAAAATTTATTTAAAAAAATTATATGTTTTTTATTTTAAAAAAATGCCAATTTTTTTGAAAATATTTTAAAAAAACTCAAACTTTGAAAACTCTAAATCTAATCCTTATACCAATATCAGCTGCATCCATTTATCGTCGGCGTTACAGTCGGCTGAACCTATCCTCGACCGCGCCTACACTAGACCACTCACGCAAGGAACAACCATCGATGAACCCTAATCACGATTTAAATCCAATGAATGAAATAAAAAAAATCGCAAGATTTGCGCGACTCCTCAAGACCCGACGGTGCAAGCAACGACAAGGACGATGTCGTCCGAAAAGGGAGATGGCGTCGACGACATCAACCGTGTTTGACAATGTAGAAACTAGGGTTAGTGTTAGAGATTTAGGGTTGATTTATAGATTTCTAGGAATTTGAGACTTTTCGTAATTTTAGAAAAAATATTTTTAAAATATAATAATATTTTAAGTTTTTTTAAATAAAATTTTTAAATTTATATAAATGTGACATGTGCCACTTAATAGAATTTTTTAACAACCGTTACGGTCAAAGCACCTAAAATGATAATATTTGTGACACCTGAATTGACCGAAAAAGTTTAGAGAGACCACTTTAAAAGAAGTACTATAATTTGGACTTTTTTATATTAAGCCTAAATCATATTATTTTATTGGTTATATTTAGATAGAATTATTATATAATCAAAATAATTTTTTCCCACCAACAACCAGTTGGTCTAGTGGGATAAGACATTAGATTCTTTAAGTAATGTTATGGCTCAAACTCTGCCGTTTGCGAATGGATCAAACTGTGTTAGGAGGGCCTCCCTTGCCTATGCCGTACTCGATCTCAATTAGTCGATCAATAGATCATATACCAGTGATTAATTAAAAAAATTGTCTTCTCTCTTTCTTTCTTTTTTGGTTTTGCCATTAAATTGTCTAAAATAGTCACACCCATAGCTGAGCCATTAATGGACACTACCCTACAAAGTAAACGCAGTGGTGGTTTGAGAAAAAAGTCCCACTAGGGCCATGTAAGATCATGTGTTAGTGCTGCTCTTCATATATATTTGGGATTATTTTATAAATGCATGTCCGGTTTGCTGTACCGACAGTTTTATTACTGGCTACTCTTATCAATATATGAATCCACTCGTAAAAATTAAAAATATGTAGTAACAATGGAGTCCTGCATATGTAGATTGAAAGACTCTGGATTTCGTTAGTCAAGTGGTCCGTACGACCGCATAGGACTAGGGATATCTCATATGCCGTTGACTTTGTACATTAAATTATTCCATTCCGATTGTTAAATGGCAATCTAATATTTAAATCATAATATTTTAAATATAAAAATCCGAGTTAAAATAACTGTATGCATAGTCTTTATCGCCTATCAATTATTTTTTTAATTTAAATATAATTAAATATATACGTAAAATTATATGTAATAAATAAACTTTTAAAATTTTAAAATCAAAGACCAACAGATTATCAATAAAAAAATATATAATATATGTAATGATTTAAAATTTTTAGACGATTATCTCATTGCTCTTAAGTCCATCCCTAAATATAATGTTAATATATATATATATATATATAATTATTATAAGGTAGTATGTATTCTAAAGATTTATAACTATTTGAAAAAAAAATTCAAACACTCTTACAGTCTCTAATGTTCGAAATGAGACTTTTAAAAATAACAAACAATTTTTTAATTATTAAGATAGTTTGGTTCGTGCTCAAATATCCATAAGTTAAATTTATTTTACACACGGTCTCATTTCTCTCGAGTTGGCCAATATATTTTCTTGATGATGCATTGACAATTATTACTTCAATACAAAATTATCTCGTAATTGTAATAAAAAATTAGAAGAATATTTCATTTAAATGAGATGTTAGGCGTGAAAGGCGATGATTAAGGAGGCAACGTGTCCTTTTCTATTTTGATAATTAAAAATGAGCATATTTCTTTTTTTAATAGGTAAAAAAGGGAAAACTTTAGTTAAAAAAGTACATTAATTGATCGTAGATTAGAGTTTAGACATGATAATAAGTTTATTCATTAATATTTTCCTTTTTTATTGATTACACTATTATTATTAAATAAAATTTAATTTTTTATTTTTTAAAATTTTATTAAATATGGTATTAGATTATTCACGAATTTAATATCAATATTCATTATTAGTCTAGAAGTGTTCGACTTGAGTTGAAGCAAATAAGTTGAATTTGTATTTAAATATAGTGACGAGTCATAATAACTTTATTAATAATAAATAATAAGAAAAGGGGATTTTTCCTTAGAGGGGTAAAGAACAGACATGTAAAATTAATTGAAAATTATTTCAGTTGAAATTATTTATGATTTAAAGAGATAATGCTTCAGATTTGAATTGAATTCGTGTTGATTTGAACTCAAATTAAATTTAATATTTTAAATTTAAATTCTACTTATATTAAATTTGAAGTCTAATTAGATTTAACAATATAATAACTGAACCTGACCCTACAACATTTATGGTTTTTATGGATATGATATTATTATACTATTCTCACACACGTTTTTGAGTTTCCAGCAAAACAAAAAAGACAAAATCAAACAAAAACTCGGCGATCTAAACTTCACAACGCTGCTTCTGGGCTGATCCACCGACGCTTAGAGTGTGTTTGGTTTACGGAATGTAAGATTATTAGCGAGAATAAAAGATTATCAGAGAATAGGATTACTGGGAATGTTGTATTTTGTGTTTGGTTGGTTTATCAGAAATGTAAGATTATCGTATTTGGTTAAAAGAATAAAAGATTATTAGAATGTATATTTAACTAAATTATCCTTATTATATATTTGTATAATATTACAAGTTAAAAAATATTTATGTATTTTCTTTAAAAAAAATTAAATTCTTAAAATTTATATTTTTTTTACAAAATTAAAATATAAAAAATGTTTAATGAAAGAGTAAAATTTTATTTTAATTCTCAGACTTCATATAAAATTTAATTATAGATTTTTTTTTGTAAATCTAAAATAGTTTAAGGATAAATTTGTAATTTAACATTCGTAGAATTTTTATTATTCAATGACAGAAGAATAATATTTTTGGGAAAAAATTTAAGGGTATTTTAATCCAAAACGCCGGTAATATTACAATACCTAAGAGAAGTGAGGTAATGACATTCCCGATAATATACCCTAAAAAATTCACTATTAGTAATAAAACATTACTGAAAATGACATTACTGGGAATGCCATTCCCGGGCCAACCAAACTAAAAAATGTGAATTCTATTCCATAAGAAATCTCACATTCCCCATCCAAACGGCCCTTAGATCCATGCATCTCTCCCAATAAAACAAAACGGACAAACAACAATCATATTTTCTATATGCAAAAACTCTTCCACTTTTTTATCGTCCCTTGTAATTTGTCTGAATTATAT